TAACTTTGTCAAATGCATATAGTTAGTTATGGTAATTTTTCCTGCAGGGCCAGGTGTGGTTGAAGGACAAAGAGGCAACACATTGCAAGTTATGTGAAAAGGAATTTTCTCTTTCCAAAAGGAAGGTAAAACTTTAAGGAAATTTGTTCCAACATGTTTACATGCATTATGGGAAAAATGAGAATTATCTTAAGAGGTGTGGTGTGAAGTGTTAATGCTCAGATGAACGCACAGTTATTTTTGAGGTGTCTTTCTACTACTTTGATATGTACAACGTGGCTGGGCCCTAATTTCAAAAGAAACACTGCCTTTTGGTGAAGTGCCACAAAGAAACATACCTAAAATTATTCAGCCTACTTTGTGGAATCATCATCTCCAGTGCTTGTCAGCTCTGGCACTGTTAAAATATGACACATGGAAGTCTTTTTATGGCATTTTTTGATACAATAGACAAAGAAATTGTGACTTTATTGTCATTTTAAAGTAAAATGTGATGTTAATTTCCATGCTTTATGAATGCATGCAGGAATTTTTTTTTTATCTTTTGATGTTAAATTGCAATTAGCTGCCTGACAGAATCATCTACTTGAATATCATTGCATATATTTTATATTTTTATATAGCAGAGTGTGTTCTTAATCCAGGGGTTGAAAACTGCCAAGCATATATATATATATATATGGTCCTAGACATATATATATGGTCCTAGACAGACTGACTATCTATCTGTCTGTCTATCTATGTATCTACCATGATCTGTCTAGGATTGCATCATAAATTGGGATTTAGATTAATTATCTTTTGAAAACTGATTCCATGCTCAGACCAAAGAAGTGGGAGGAATCACATTTGAGACTGCTCTGTGTATATTGTTTATTGGTATCTAGTTAGTGAGTATATTTCCATTGTAAATGTTTTTGGTTTTTTCTCCTTTTTTCCCCTTTATTTAGCATCATTGTAGAAACTGTGGTGAGATCTTCTGTAATGCCTGTTCTGACAATGAACTGCCTCTGCCTTCCTCACCAAAGCCTGTTCGGGTCTGTGATTCCTGCCACGCAATACTTATACAGAGGTGCTCTTCTAATGTGCCATAAGGTTATTTTACAAGATATTTATTACCTTTTGGTATTTAGCTAATGCTGTTAAAAAAAAAAAAAAAACACAACAAAAAAAAACCCCAAACAACTAAAGAATGTACAGCACTATTTCCAGAATTTCAGGTAAGCAGTCTGGAGTTGCGTTTTCAGGGTATCGTGGAGGAGTTATTTGTCTGCTTCCTCTTGAAACAAACAAAGGAAATGGGACCCAAAGACAGAAAATGCATGTGTTAAAAGTACAGGTGACAATATTAGTCTCACAAATGGCTCAGAAGTTCTTCTGGAGGAAGCGGGGCAGTTTATAGAGGAGACTCAGTGTTAACATGTGTTTGATGAGTGTCTTGGTCGTTATGTGGAAAGATGATACACTTCCCTGCTTTTACAGCCTAGTCTGCAGAGTCCAACCCAATTCTGCTGCAGAATGTGCCTGGGATATGCTGTTGTGAGGCAAAACTGTGCAGTAGCTGGTTTTAAATTATATTTTAAAAAAGTAAACGCAATTAATGCAATGGTCCGGTAAGTTGTTGCCAAATACTGTATTTGTTTACTTCCCCTCAATTATCAAAAGATTTGATACATCCAAGAATATTGCACTGACAACTCTGTTCTTTGTAGTCACAAGTGTAAGGGGAGATGTCGGATGGATAACAAACAGTGCCTTTGGGCACTGCAGGAATGAAGGTGCGTTTTGCTGAATGATTTTTTTTTTTTTTTAAATTAACTATTGATTTGGCATATCCGTGTTTCAATTAAGAGATGTCCATCACAAAACTTTTGCCTAACATTGTCTGTAACCTTGAACAAGTATCTTTCCATTATTTTCATGTAAGTTATGCTTTCGAGCTCGTACATGTAGTCACTGTATAGCTCTAGAAGCAGAGTGAATCTGCCGCCGAGACAGACGAGGATTAAATACTGGGGACTGTGTCCTTTCTGTGTTGGACAGGGAGGTTCTTCCTTATTTTGTCATCATCATTCTCAAACTTCCAGAGTTTGTTCCTAAGCTTCATTGGTTTTTTCCAGAGCACTTTTGAGTACGTCTAGGTCTGCCCACTCTTCGCACTGATGCTCTGTGGTAACTTCTGCTGGAATGTAAATCCGTATTCTTCCCGTAGGCAAATACAAATACATCCGTTGATAAATTGTCCTGGCTTCCACGTCACTGCGCTAGAACCAATCTACCCTCTGCCCTTTAGCTGCTCATGCCAGGGGGTCCGGCTTTGGAATCTCCACGCTCTGGCCAGCAGAACTATCAGCCCAGTGGTTCCTTCCGCCCCACCAGGGGCTTGGAATGTTCTCATTAACAGGAGAAAGGGAGGCTTTGAAACAGTTCTTTTAATTTTTCTTGCACTTCGTTTAGCTTAGCATTGTCTTTCGAGGATAGGTGTTTAGTTAATATTCTAAAAGCTAATACAGCTGTTCTTTTTAACACCTCAGTGTAGTTGCTTGTGTAGCTTTTGTAAAGAAAAATGTTTTTAAAATTACCTGATGTAACTTTTTGTAAAATACAAAACAAATACTTGTAAATCTGTAAATAGCTTTTGGAAAAAAAATAAATTTAATTGATCTGCCACTTAACTATGGGAATAATGTCACTTTATTTAAACTTGTAATTCAGAGTCTTTTGAGTATTCTAGTATGACTTGTTCAAGTTGCTTAGGAAGGTGTTTGCATATGTTGGGGAGTGGGGAGCGATGCTGATGTTGTATGCTTCCAGGTGCTGCTCGTATGCTTCCCGGCAGTATTCTAAGAGTTTGCTGCTGGGCTTGGTGTGGGGCAGGCGTGGAGGCAGCAGGGTTTGAGCTGGGACAGAGATGATGCTGATCTCTACTGCTTTAAAAAGTGTTTTTTCAAAAACTAACTAAACAAAATGAATTTTAAAACAGGACATTTTTTTTAAATACAAATTTCCGTAATGTGCAATACATTTTTTACTACTTAACTGCAATGTTTTCCTCTTTTCTGTGCTGCCATATTTGCATGGGAAGATGTCACTGAAGTAGCATATAATTACTCAGATCGCTTTCACCAAGTAAAACTTCTGCCTTGAACAAAACAGTGAACACTGTATGTTCTATGTGGTTTTATTTCCCTTAGCATCAACCTACATACCAGGCCTGCTTTTAGCAGTTGTTTGGAGCACACTATTATTAATCCTGTATCTTTGTCTTTCTATAAAACCCCATTCTTCGACAGATTGTGATTGTAACTCACCCTCACGCTGAGCATAGGACGATCTGTGGGGTACCTGCTCCGTTCATCAAAAGGAACTGTAAGTGGCTGGAAAGGTGGAAGGCTGCGTGGAGCTTGTTGCAGGACAGGCTGAGGGGACTCGCCATCCTGTGCAGTGGGATGCTGTTCGTCAGGACTCAAGTTCAGTGTGTTTTCGCAGTGCTTGGTTATACACAACAGCTCGAAGCGGAACACCCTGCTGGCTCTCAAAAGGGAAGTCTTGAACTGGTGTTGGCGTTCCCTCTCTCAAAATGGAACACAAAGTACACCCCGGTGTGGAACTGGTACAGCTGTCTGCTATGCTGACAGAAAAAAACGTGCTTCCATCAAGTGCAGATGTCCTCTACCCGATTTATTTATTTCTGCAACTGGATTGACTCTCATCCTGACCTTTACTGTGTTAGTTTTGTGTTAGTTTTTTTCAGCAACAAGGAACCCACTAGTTCTTAGGAGCACCGAGTTAAAAGAAAGCCCTGCAGGATGACTGTGTTATGATCGAGCCATCTTCCCTCCCCTTCCTAGCCAAAAATACTCCAGTTCTTGGACAGCTTCCTCTGCCAGTTACCCTCTCGCTTTTACTTCCAGTCACTGTGACACAAGACCACACTCTCTAGTGAAATAAACTCCATTCTCCTCTCTCCCACAAGAAGACATTTATTACATATATAACACAGTACTAGCAGAACAGGTGACAGACTTTCAATACCCAAGATCACATTTGACATTTTAAGGGAGGCATTGAGGACAAAGCAGTTAATTTGGGAGATCACACTGGCTCAGAAGAATAAATACCTTTTTTCATTACACATCAGGTATGTTAATTGTCTTCAAACAATAGTTTCTTACATATCTTACATGTCACAAATGCACAAAAAGTTTTATCAACCTGTTTGGGTTGTGTGTTAGTTAACAAGTATTGGGCTTTTAGAGATACTTTGTTTCTAATGAGCTCATCCATATAGTGGCTCATCAAGTTTGGAACAAATACAGACAAATCAGCTCTGCAGCAAAAAAATAAAGCTGAACCATGTTTAAATACAATAATTTCATGAAAAAAAAAAAAGTCTTGCTTCCAAATCCCCCACTCTTGCCAAAAGCAGTGTTTGTGAAAAAAGTACTAAGTAGTTAGGTCAAATCTAGCTAATTCAAAGCTATTTCATGTTAGCTAAAAGCTGTGCTAGTTTTTAGTTTGCTTTGCACATTACACCTGTGAAACGCAGTACCGAGAGTTCTACGACAAAGCGTGGCAATAATTGTTGCTGCTTGGTTGTGCAGAGGCACAGACCTCAGGCACTACTCGCTTACGCAGCTGTGCATTTGAGGATGATGGCAGATTCTGGTAGTACAAGGAAGGAAGAAGCCAGAACAATGACTTTTAGCCTCCACAGCTTTACACCGCATTGAGAAATTACTACATACAACTTATCAAAAGGGTTTAGGAAAGATTGTTACCAAATAACTAATCTATTTGTCTACCTTTTTCCCCTTAAACAAGTGGATTTTTTTCAAACTCATTCACTACACCAAAATTACATAGAACTGAATCGGTGTTCATAGGAGTTACAGGACAACCACCTTTATTGAACCATAGTACAACATCTTAAACCGACTGTAGTCTTGAATATGTAATACATCCTTAGGAGTAACTAGTATAAAAAGTATCAACATCAGTGGTTTGAATATAAAAATTTATTTAAAGTCAGAGTATGCAACAAATAAAACCTACAGAAAACAGATTTTCCCATCACAATCTGTTGCTTACCAAATAATATTGTGAAAACACATTCCTTCAGTCATTATAAAGTTCTTAAAATACAAAAGAAATTAAATTTTGTAAGAAAGTCTAGTAGACCAGAGACTGTTTTTCTTCCAGGATGTTTTGTAGAAGCAAGGCTATCCTTCAATACATTCCACGCCATCCTCCTCCACCCATACTGCCTTGCCCATAGTATCCTCCACTATTTCCACTGCCACGACCTGCAAACAATTGACACAAGGTCACGCATACATACCTTAAAAAAAGAAAAAATGTGATGGGTAATACAGAACAGTTGGTTGAAGATGACTTAACTTATACTAAAATAACAATACTTCAGCACCGTTATTCTAAATGAGCATTTGCTGCAGTAGCAAAACGCATAAACCCCCAAGTGTTTTACAGTTTAAATTAAGCCACTCCCCTCCTTCCCCTTCTCCCAGCACAAATATGCCACAGCACGCAGCGCCCACCACCCTTCCCGCCAGAGACGGACGGAGCAACGTTTTCACAAAATACATTTAAAACAGAACTGTTACTTACTGTATCCGCCCAAGCCATCAGGAGTCCCGTACCCGCCGCTGTAATTGCTACCCATTCCCATTCTACCAACAGAGCCGTAACCTTGATCTGAAAAGCAGGAAGGGCATCGTTAGAAGCTGGGAACTCATTAGGCTTGGCAAAATGTCAGCTATGTCTGAAATTGATGCGTACCCATTCCATCTCTGCCATAGCCTCCCATTCCAGAACCACCTCCAGCAGTTGAATTCAGGAATAGTTCAATATATCGATGCTCTGTAGGAATGAAAAGCGCCTTACTTTGTGTTTTGTTTCAGTCACCAGATGCACAGAGATACAATGCAAAAAAACCCCACCCCGACTTACAAGTAACAGAAGCCCACAAAGTGAGTTTGAAATGTGGTAAATGGCAAAAAGTCTTAGGATTTGTGCATTTCCTGCACAGCAAGTGAAGTTAAATGCAGTTTAACCCCTTCTATTCAGCGTACCCTTTTATATACCCTGCTAAAGCCCAGTCAATGAAAGCTTTTAAGTGACCACAACACTCACGCATGTGATTTTTATCCTTAGACATGGCAGCTACTGCATCCTCATGTGTTACAAATTCCACATCTGCCTCTCCTGTGGCTCTTCCATCTGCCCCGATATCAATGTGAACTCTTATAGGATTCAATGGTGAGAAAAACTAAGAATAAAAGCAAAAAAACCCAATAAATGCATTAATTTCATCTCATCCTACCACATAGATTTAATTACTAATTTCCAAAGTATTACTTAGTGATAGTGGACTTTCAACATTAGGTTAATCTACACTTAAAAATCTATTACGATTACACAACTCAAAGAGCTTCAGCTACAGAGCTTGAGGAGCTTTCTTTAAAAGCGGAGATACAAACGAGAATTCCTGCCCACACACATTGCTTTAAGCAACAAGTTCTAGTATGATGCCATCCCAGAAAGGAAAATAATTACTTTGTTTCTGAGCAGAACCAAATTACTTCTTAAAGCAAGGACATATTTATGGAATGCAAAAAAAGCTGATGTCCATCAGACTGCTCTTCCTTGCCACAACACTCAGAGATACAGGAATATTTCTGACTAACAGACATTTTAGCAAACAGCACGAGCAAATGAACCTCTGGCATACTACTCAAGTACTCAACTCCCAATAACATGCTCTGAATCAAAGCCTGAAGTGTGGCACTTGTTCTTGGAGTCTTTAAACTAAAGAAAACGAACTGATAGAAGAAGATACGGCTCAATTTAAAAGAAAACAAACAAAAAAAACTAAAGAGCACAAACTTCAGAGTGGAGTTCTGCATATACACAACAAAGGTGCAACTAATAAAGATGGTACTCCCCTGCAGGAAAGCGGTGTTTAAACGAGGCCTTACATCCCAGGAAAAGTTCTCCCCCTACACACAACTCATCTACACTGACACAAGAATGTATTCCCACCCAGATTCCCTGATGTCTTAGTAGTCACGGGATACTGCCACCTCCAACCCAACACAGCTACCGACACTCTTCCCTCCCTGTCCCTCCTAAAAATCAGTCTCAGGCTAACTAATATACAAACTACAATCAGAGCTTCACATCTGCTATTGCTCTTTTACAAAATTATACCTCTTCAGTTAAGCTTAAACAAGCTGAAAGCCTTAAAATGAGGATACTAATTGCAACAACTGTTCTCTCTCCAATACACCTTTTATGGAAATGAAAGAGCAAAAAGTACAGAGATTATTGTTAAGTATAGTCTGGCTGACTTCTTCAGTGATCTCACCTCAGACATTACCTTTATAAAACCTCATTTACTACAAAGCTTTCTAAAACTCACATAAAGGGCTGTGACTTTAGTTAGCAGATGTATCAAAGCTATCAACCACTTGTTTGAAATCTTTAACTGAGTTTGGACTAGGAAAGACAAGAACATGGAAAGTCTGGCCATTAGAAACCCCTTTTCCCCATTGTACTTACGTTTGCAATATCATTTTCCGTTGCTCGGAAAGGCAGTCCTCTCATGTGAACAAAATGACCGCCACCATGGAAACCCGACCCTGCATCTCCACCGTAGCCATGTCCTCCCATGCCTGTTAGAAAACCCAAACCAAACAAAACCACATACCTGTAAGATCATCATGAAAAGCTAGAAAAGCCACTACTGTTTTCCTGAAATCATTCACACTTTGTGCCCGTGAATGTAAGATGTTTACACTTTCCATCTATCAACCCAAATACTTAACCAGAAGATATCCTAAGCAATAGATTTACATTTTCCTGAGATTCCCCAATTCCCCACCTTTTTTTTTTTAAAGCAACCTTCTTTCTTTACAAAATAATCTAACAAAGAAAGCACTGACTTCTGTCTTGGAAATACTATGTCTTACAACTCAAATAATATAAAAATCTTTTTAAACACACTATTAAAAAATTATTTTTACCTCTCCCATCCCTCATTCTGTCATCATAGCCATCATTTCCATAGCCATAGTTATTATAGCCACCATAATCATCAAAGCCACCATATCCTGTGCAACGGAGAGAAAGAAATGATTACATTGTTACTCAAAATTCACAGAGCAATGCACAACAGTCAGTTTTTCAGTCTTTGGGCACCCAGAAGTTTGCAAACAGCCTCTACAGACTGTTAAATCAGGATGTCTGAACAGAGTGCGAACGTAAATGTTCTTTTAGACAGTAAAAAGACTAAAACATGCAAATGAGATAAAATTCTGCTGAAAATACAGTTTCCTTATTAACTCCGTTAATATTAAATACTAAGCCACATTTTTTGATACGTTACAAGTAAAATTCTCTTGAGAGAAGTGTGTCAAACCTAACAGGTACTGCAGCTACTGCCATTTCTTTATTTCTTGACAAAGACGTCAGAAACATGAAACTGACAACAGAACCTCCATTCATTAGATAAACATACCACCGTCATATCCACCACCTCCTCGACGCATTCTGTCATACATACTTCCACGCCCAGCTCCATAATAACCCCCTCTTCCTCCTAATGGTCTATCATATGGTCCAGGTCGTTGTTGTCCCATCATTCTTCTTGGCATGTCACAGAATCCTCTGATTTCGCTCTTACTACTTTTGAAGATTTCAATATATCTAATAAAAGAGGATTTTCGAGGTACCAATAAGAATACATGCATAAGCTGTCTGAATATTATAAAAGGCCATACTACGTTTTCTATAACTAAATGTACAATCCAATAGAAGTGACTAGTGATACCATACAACTTAAGTTTCTCCTCAAAACCGTAAGAATCTTAAGTGTATAAAAAACACAACAAAACACTTTACAGTGGCAAAAATTACTATGTGAAAATTCTAGCTGTACAAATTAAGCGTAAAACGTGTCTTTCCAGTATGACAAACATACTGTTGAAAAACAATGTCTAGCTATAGTAGCATTTATCACAAGTTACCCTACGCAAGAACGATTGAAAAAATTTTCTGAGTTTAGCAAACTACCCAGAGCAATACTGTCTCCCCCACCCCCCAAATCTACTGTATTTCCCAAATTAACTTAGGATCAGTTACAAAAATTCTTAAAAACAGCCAGTTCCATGTAATGGTCCCCAACCCCCCCAAAAGCATTACTGACCCACAACCCCCAAAAATAAAGATTTAACACCATCCCAAACTCTCCATCCCCACCTGTGCCCTATTCTTTCCTTGTGTTTCCCCAGAGCATTTTCTGCTATCTCCTTTGAAGCAAACTGCACGAAGGCCTCCCCTGTGCTTCTCCCCTGGTAGTCCAGCGTCAATGTTATCCCATTTGGCACGATTTCCAACCCTTTAACCCAAGGACAAATAACCCCATCAAGGGGAACAGTGTTAAAGGCTGAAACATTCCCATCTGTAGCAAATACTTAAAGCATATCTAAACAACAACAACGAAAAAAGAAAACCACCTTGTTTCCCCCATCACCCAACAATACAAGCCAATAATCTTTCATTAAACATTTATGGATTTAGCCATACTTTTCCGTTTAAACTATGCAAAAATACAACCACCTAAGTTACATGAAGAAAATACAGCTACCAATTAAATAATTTAACTGATCCAAATGCTAACATTCAGGTTATCCCAATATGCATAATATGTTTACCACCTCGACAAAATTAGATACATACTACATCTATGGTTATTTGTACTTTATTTACAGGGCATAATTTGTACTTAAGGTAAACTAATTTAACACAGTCCCTCCCATCCACCCCATCAATAGCTATTACAACTTAAAAATGTGCAAAACACTGTGTAAAAGATACAAGAAAACTCAGTCACTATACTTTGACTATACTAGAGGTACCTTGGAAAAACTGAACAATTTCTTCTTTGCTGCAACCGAATGGCAGGCCTCGAAGTCGTACCACTGTTCCATCATTAGTTGTATCATTTGGCCCATTGTGTTTTCCAGTCCAGTCCATCTTTTATTTAAATCAAAACCTACCAAAAACAAAAAAGGAAAAACTTTGAGATTCCATATATGCCCAAGTCCCTCCCCGCCAAAGAAATCTGGTAGTTTTTCTTCAGCTAACTAGTGTTATGGATGATTAGCTTTATTTCTCTTAGCTATTTAAAATCGTACTTTATCATATCTAACTTAGAACCACCCTAAACTTTGGTAGGGAACAGGGCGCGCAGGGAGGGCAGCACGTGGGCAGGCACAACACATAAAGCTCATTATTTACTCAAGAGTACACTGATCATCCGCCCTATACGGAGGGGCTTTTTTTTTTTTTTGTTATTTTGCGTTGTGCTTTT